CTGCTGAGGGGAGCAGCGGGCGGGTCAGGAGAGGTCTGGCACGCCATGTGGTCTCCTCCAGGACAGGCGGGAATCGAACTCATGCGGAAGGAGGTCCAGATTCTCAGTACTGTGCTTCAACCCGCTGCGCCACCAGGGAGGGCCTTTAGCGGCCTTCTTTTCAGAGAAAGTGGCTCTTTCCTCTAGCTCATGTACCCACTGCCAAAGCACCCATAGTCCCCTTGTTCTCCTTCCCGCTTTATTCGCACCCTCACCTCCCTCCACCTCTGGAGTCCTCAGTACTATATGTAGGCTTCAGGGGTTAATTTTTAAATTATGCTTTACCCGAGCCTTTGTTTTCTCTATATTTCACATATAAATTATACCATCTGGTATTTGTTTTTCTTCTTTCTTAGTTTGTGCAACATAACCCTTTCCACCTCCACCCCTGTGGCACAAATGGCATGAGTTTATCATTTTGATCACTGGGTGGTATTTCCTTGTGTGTATATGCTATATTTTCTGATGCACTGATCTGTTTTGGGGCACTTTGTTTCTATAGGTTCGCTGTTGTGAATTGTGCTGCAATGCTCATGGGAGTGTAAGTTTCCCTTTGAATTAGTGTTTTTGTATTCATTGGAAACCCAGGAGTGGAGTTTCTTCTGCATAGTGAGAGAAGTTGTAGCTAAAATTAAGACAATCTACTGAGGGAGGGAACTATTTTCAAACCATATTTATGATAAAAGGCTGATATCAAAGATCACGAAGTCATACAACTCAACAAAAAGACAATAGAAGGATAATTAAAAGATGGCAGAAGAGCTAAGTGGGCATTTTTCCAGAGAAGACTTGCAGATAGCCAAAAGGAACATGAAAATTTGTTCATCATCACTTATCATCATGGATAAGAAATCAAAATCTCAATGAGTTGCCACCTCACTCCTGTAAGGCCCATTTGAAAAGACCAGAAAAATAAATTCTGGTGACAAGTTTGTGGTGAAAATGGAGTCCTCTTACACTGTTGGTGGGAATGTTGACTGGGTCAACCCCAGTGAAAAACACTATGAAAATGTCTCAAAAGATTAAAAATGGATTTGTCATACAGAGTCACTAGTCTTCCTACTATATTGAAATTTCATCATTTTTTTTCTTTCATGAAAACTTTACTTCCTTAAACACCATTATCACATTCACTTTCTAATTCTTTGTTTTGCATATCTGATGACCTTTCATCTCTGTCCTTGTTTTCTTTCACTTTCTGCAGTGATTTTCACTGTTAGTCATAATGAGCGAAAATCTAGTTTATTGATCATCATATTCCACACTTTCCCTCTGTTGGAGTTAGCATAGCAATGCTCACTAAGTGGATAGTGCCTACATAAATAAAGTAGGCAAATTTGCATATTGAGTATTATAGTGATTAAGAATGCAGAAAATGGGCCCTGCTGACTGCTAGTTACAGATCCTTGGAAAAGTGGATCATTATTTCTCTCCTTCAATGTAGTCTGTTAAATGGGGATAATAGTGCCTAATTTACAGAGTGGTTATGAAAACAAAATATGATCATCTATATATAGCCATTAACACACTTAGCATATGGTAGATATTTTAAATGTTTCCATTGTAAAAAATCAAACTCAACTTCTTTCTCTACTTCTTCATTTTGATGTATTATTTCTCTACCCACCATATATCTTTACACAACGTATCTTTGATTTCTATAGTTTCTTTATAAGGGAAGCAAGCAAAAATTCCCCTCTTTCCCTGAGCTGGCCCCTGAGACTCCATGGATTTCTGAGGGATACTAGAACAGAGTGATGAAGAGTGAACATAAACTCAGAGGGATGTAGATTTTGAGCCCTGGCTCCTCTCTTTCTAAAACTGCTGTTTGGTGTGTCAAAGGGGATCATCTTAACCCCTCCCCCAAAGAGACACCATCACATGTACTGAGCTTTAAGTGAGGTAATTTATGGGAATGCTAATTAATACAGCTGGTAGTTTATTAAAAATAAATATTAACACTTTCCATTTTTCCAAAATATTCATAATTCATGTTATATAATTGAATTCTGAATTACCTAATGCTGTCAACTGTTCTATTTGTTAGCATTTAGAAACCAACTACTTTGTACTACTTTGTAAATTTTTCTAAAACAAAGTGCTTCATAGGTCCTCTGGAACTTTAAGATAATTAATATCTTTAATATTAGTACTAGAAGATGCTTAATTGATAAATGACTACATATTATGTTATGTTTTAAACTAAATATAAGTTGTACAAAATAGAAAGTAATAGGTACTTTAAGCAATTATGTAAAATTCTCTTTAGACTCCTAACTTTTTTTTAAGTAGGACCTTGCTGTTTCTGGACTTCAGTCTTAACTTCTTAGCAAATGGATGAGTTTTTTTGGAACACTCACTGTTTTTACTTACACTAACTAATGATTGCTAAATTATTTTAAAATAGCAGGTTCTCATATGCATAGTAACCATCCTGATGCTGCTGCTGATAGTAATGGTGATGTGTGTAAAGGAGGCTGTTTGTATTCATTGGTATGTGCTGTGCTGTTGCAGACATTTCTCTGGGAGCTATCTCTTTTCTGATATATGCAGTTCATTTACTCTTTACTTTCAGTCCTAAATTTTAGTAATTGCAAAACATCTAAGGAGCATGGGGTGATAAAAACCAGTCGAATGTGTTTTTAGAGTATCTTTGTGTTAGTAATTTTTTGGAAAAATTACTACTAACCTCTTGTTATTAAAAAATCTGTGATTTGCAATTTAATTTGAAAAATACACTTAGAACTTGAACACTTATGGTATACAATTAGTTTTTTTTTTTTTTCAATTCCAGAACAAGTTAAGCTGGGTGAAATACTAACTGATATTGAAACAGTGAGTAAAAAAATGGAGAAAGGAAAGTACCACCACCCTTTGAAGCCCAGGTAATGTGTAAATAGTTAACCTGAAAATATATACTTCTGCTTTGCCAATATTCCCTGACCAATTGTTAATGGGTTCTCAAGTCTATTAACACCCCATGCACAAGGCTAATTTATCCTTCTGTTTGAGCCCCTCAAAGCATATCAATTATCGAAATTTTAGTTTTCAGTTCAATTAACTTTTGAACTGGAGGATGTCTGAGTAGTTAAGGAAACCATCTGGGTTTTACAGTGCATAAGCTCAATCCAATTTGTGGCTTTCTTGAGAAAAATGCCATATTTTATGATAATATTATATAAGTTTGGAATTTTAACAACTCATCTGCAGCAATTATGGAGCAGAGTTAAGTTGTATTTTTTCTTTTTTAATTCAATAATTTAAACTTTAGTCTTTTGCTAGCAGAAGGTGAGGCTGATCTCACAGAGCCTAGTTTTAAGGCAGGGATTTGAGCTTTGCATATTCTTTCCAAAGATGTTGTGAGATGGGTCAGTTACTATCCTGAATTATTGCAATTTTTAGCATCACCATCTTCTATAAACCTTTATAATTGTGTTTAAAATTATTGGTCCCAACGCTATAGCTAGACCCTTTAAAGGCCCTTCAGCACATTGTATAGCAACATTTATACTTGGAGAATATAAATACTGCTTTGTTAAGATGAGATTTTCAGTGGCCTGTTTTATGTTAATTCATTATATAACATGGTCAGAAATTTGAGGTAATTCACATTTAAAAATAATAGAAATTGAGAAAGTCTTGCCATAGATACAAAGAAAGATAAAAGGAAAGTCGTAAGTCTTTCACAATTTTTCTTGTGATCTGAGCTCAGCAGGACAAGATTCACCCTTGCAAGTAGCCAGTTTCTTGGCTTAAATATAATATGTTATTCAAGTCTGGAAGAGTGGAGTATGTTTACAGCTTCACTGCTGAGTTGTTGTTGTTTTTTCCATCAGTGATGATATTCATTCCAATGGAAAAAAGTGATTGTATTGGGAATTTACCAGTTTAAAAATTTCCTTTCTGCCTTTACTTAATTTAGCCCAAGACCCAGGTTGGCCAAATTGAATGATAGATGTTGAGAGAGTAGTTGCTAAACAAATTTAGCTAAGTAGTTTAGAATTTCCAGTAAACTTTTAATAACTAGAAAAGATAACTGAACTCATTTCAAAACTTAATCATCTTCAGTATATTTAGATGGAGCCCATAATTCTAGGAAGGATAATAATGACTTAGGGACAAAGTGGAGCACTCATTAAAAATAAATCCAATCAGGTATAATCTCTTAAAGTTTGCCTTTCTTAGTAGAGTTGAATATTCCCAAAGAATTGCTTTTTTCTGCATCTGGTGGAAGATAAAGGTCTCTTGGCACTCTAACTTCCCATTTTTAATGAAAACATGTCCAGCTTAATGAGGAAGATCAACACCCTTTGAAATTCAGAGCAAATGCATGCACTTCCAGTGATAGGCAGGGCACATAAAGCCTGAACTTCAATCCACCTGGGCGGCCTTTTCTTTATTTATAGCGAGCTTGTGGCAGTGACTTGTTTCCTTCCTGAGCAGTTAGCTTCATTTCATTAATGTTAAAAGTGTGATGGGATGTGGAGGAAAGACAAATATGTGTTTAGGGACCTGTGACTCAGGCTTTTAGAAAATCTGTGCTTAACTAGACAAATAAAATGTCACTAGACTAAAGCTTCTGTTGAGATCTATTTCATCATGAAGATAAGGACATTTAGCAATGAGAATATAAGCAACAGAAAGAAAAATAGAATAAATCAAAAATCAAGTAAGGGATTACAAACTATGCAGGCACGAACTCTAGGATGAATTGGCATAAATTGCTTAACTTTTGGTGAGACGCTTGGATGTCTTCTGTTCAAGACAAACAGAACCCTATGAGAGAAGTTCTATATAAAGAGAACCATTCACCATTCCCTGGAAGATGCCTTGAAGAATACTAATTTTCAGAGTGACACATAGTATTTGTAGGTAGATCATAAATACTGGTCTAACAAAGCAAATCTCCTTGATGAAGCATAAAGAAATATGATCGAATTTTTAAATGTATGATTTCTTCTTTTCCCCCAATTTCTCTGTTTGGCTTGCAGAGGGAAAACAAAATCGAATACTTCTGCATTTTCAAATTTAAGTTTAAAGAAGTGAAGTTCTTCATTGTACTCTTGAGTCCTAACTTCAAAGATTTATTATCACTCATTAACACACTTTTGTGACAATAATGATAAATGTGAGTGCACTCTAAATGTTAATTTTCCATCAAAGAAATGTATTTATTATTCACTTATTTATTAGCACTTTTAACTGATGATATTGGTACATTTAAAGGCATGGTGCTACATTTCTGTGTATGCATGTTCTAGTTTGGTCAAGTGAACCTGAACTACTTCCCCTAGTTTTATGCACAGTGGTAATTTTTGTGTTATATCACAAGTTGTATTTAGGCCATTCTGATCAATTTAATAATAGAATGAGGGTATTATTACATTTTTCTTGAAACAGCTCTGCCATTTACTTTAATATTTGTAAAACATTTTGCTAAAGTGGATGAATTGTAACTTACTTCTATCAGGATTTTTCATTAATAGGGAATCATTAAAAATTCTGTTAATGTTTCCAACTTAGACATTTAAATAATGCTTAACTATAGACCATATAGAGAAAAGCAAAGCAAGTTATGACTGATTACTATTTCTTGACTTTATTCCTGTGGCGTGCAAATAAATTCTGGAATGTCTTTTCTTTTCATTGGGGGAACATTGTCTTATCACTCTGTGTATAAATCACAACTACAGGATCACACCTTTCAACTGTTACTACACCACACTCACCCCTAAGGCACCTGTAGTTGTCTACCACAGTCACGTGAGGCCCTTCCATGGCCTGCTTCCGTCTTTCTCTTCCCCTGCTGGTAGTCTCAATTCTGCAGTAAAGCTTTTAGGATTTGTTATTGGCTTGATTCTGTCTGATCCTTTGCTTTCCCTATATTTCACATATATATGAAACTGTTCAAAATTTGGAAAAAATTAGCTGAAAAGGTCATGTACATATGTGTACACATAAACAAAAAAATATATGGAATATATTACTTATGCTAATTATGAAATGAAAAACAACCTAAAGGAGTAATAGAGAGCTTAGTTCTTGAGGTTCTACTGCCTGGATGAAAACTCTGATTCCACCTATTTTTTTTACTGAGATAATCTTAAATATATATATCTTTATCTCTAAACTTTAGAATTTATTAAATTATGAAATGGGTATAAATAACAGTAGATACCCAAAGGCTTGTGAGAAATAAATTCAGTAAGATGTGTAAGAGGCTCAGAGTATCTTCTGACCCAAATAAGCATCTAGGTGTTGTGATTATTGCTAGGAAATTATTGTGATGAATTAGGGGTAATTTCCAATCTTTTCCTTTTTCTTATTTACATTTTTAAAAGTTTCTCCATGGTTTCTGGTTTTTGATTCAGTTGGCTTGGCTGAAGTTCCTTGAGACATGACAAGAAAACACTACTTAAAATTACTTTCAAAACAGAAAAGACATAGATAAATACACTTGATCATTTTTCGAATTTTTGTTAGCATTTTTGCTTGGGAAGCACCTGTGCCCTGAGCCAACCAACTTTGGTATTGTTTGTTTTGTTTTTATTCAAGTATAAATGTTTATGTAGGACCTACTAGGTACTATTATTCCTTAGAGGACTGAGCACACAATAATTGTGCTCTACGTTGATAGGAAATACGTGCTGTGATTAGCAGCCAAGCCTATTTTACAAGCCTTGAAAGTTTGTGTTACAAAATAGAGGCTACTTAATCATTCAAAGTTCTAACTTTATGTTTTTCAAACAGAATTTTGGACTCACATTTCTTGCCCAGTTTGCAATCCATCAAGATCTCTCCCACGCGACTTCTGAAGGGGAAGGGTGAGTACCATTGCGTATATTAGTAGCAACATAGTGCTTCTTAATATTTTTCATTAAAATCAAACATTTAGGATTGAATAGTCCTTTCTCTTTCCTTTCACTTCAAATACTGTGCCAAAAAAAAAAAAAAAAGGATTTCAGAAACAACTACTAATAATTTTCATTTTTAATTTGCATTTGAGACATTGATTTTTAAAATGTGTGTGACTATTGAAGGTTTTGGGAAATGTTAAGAATAAATCCTTGTAATTTAGAAAGTTTCTTTATTGTTTATTTTGTTTTGAAAAATACGTAATTCTTCAAAAGAAATATAGACGATTCTTTAAATTCCCTTACGTGTGAATGAGAAACTCTTTGGAGCTTGGTTGAGTACTTGAAGACCTAGAGGGCTATTGATTCAAAGAAACTATTTCGTTGTTCTCCCTCTTTCTAACTTGTTACTCATTTTCTTGAGCTTCAGGCTGTCATTAAGAGAACTCTTTTTTTTTTTTTTTTGTGGAGAAAGTGATTGATTTTAGAAGAAATTTTTGAAAACTCCTTCTTGGGTTCTTAAAGGATTCTCGCATAAAAGTTCCTTTATTCAACTACAATTTTATCAGCATTATTTGCTTAGATTATATTAGAAGAATTTAAGCATTAAGTGGAGGCTCATGAAACAGACTATTAATAATCTAACCTGTATTCACCTAAATTATTAATATTTGTGTATATGGCAGTAGAATCTTAAGAATGTGCAGTAAGCCTGTTATATTGTTCCATATTTAAATTTCTTTAAGGCTTGGTCAGATAATTTGAGGGTGAAGGATAATGGAATAATTTGTGGATCTCAGTTGAATTTAGATGGCATGTGTGTGTGAAGAAGCAGATACTGCCAACAGTTTGTCAATGTTGTAGAGTCCAATGGGCAGACAGTTTTAATAGCTAATATTCTTGATACTCATTTTGTTTTCAACCAAACCACTCTTTAATCATTGCAACATTAGGTTTGTGGTCAGTACTTTATTTTATATAAGTCAGTAGTAAAATGTGAAAAATACTGATTTTTTTTTTTTTTGGAGTAAAGTGTGGTCCTGACTTTGTGTCTTGGGTGAGGAATATTGAACCCATTTTTTTAGAGCTTATTAATTTTTAGTTTACTTTAAGGCCACAGGCTAAAAATTTGCACAACAAAGCTTTCCCCACATCAGTCTTATAAATGTATAGTAAGTTATAGCTTTGCTGAATGTTGACACGACTGCTGAGGTATATTTGATAGCAAAATCCAGCTTAAACTGTGGGAGAATGTAGGTTTTATAATTTTCTCGAGGGCAAACAGTAACATATTAGACTGTGAAATTAAAATTGCTTACTTTTTTTTAGAATAAATAAAATATTATTTAAGAAAAAAGGGATGGAAATTAGAACATGGAGATTAGGACAGAGTAATGATTTCTACCCATTTGACTAAAATACATTTTGCTATATGTACTATACATAATATGTAATATTACACTATATTACCTTATGCTATATTGTATTGTATTATGTATGAAAGTATGAATCCTACATTGTTTGGAGCCTTGTCTTTTTAAGAAATATAGGCCCATGACTAAAACTGAAGACATTGGCATTATTCTAGTTAATTGTAATGAACTGTGGCTCTGAGATTTCCCTTTTTTTTTATTGAAGTAATACTTATTTACCAGTTTCAGGGGTACATTTTTTCACCCTAACAACTGTATATTTTACATCACATACAACACTGAGTGTCCTGTCATCACCCATCACGTTATTCTCGCCTCACTCTCCTCTGATACCCATCATACTGTTGTCAGTCTGAGGGGTTTTGTCTTGTTTTACTGCTTTTTTTTTTCTTCATAATCCACACATAAGTGAAATCATTCTATAATTTTCTTTCAAGTATTTAACCTAGCATAACTCTCTTGAGGTCTATCCATGCTTTTGCAGGTGGTTAGAGTTTGCCTTTTTTGTGACTGAGTAATATAACATGAGTGATATATGCCAACATCTTAATCCTTTTATCCATCCCTGAGTCTTGGCTACTATAGTGTTGTAGTAAATAAAGGGGTGATATTTCCCTTTTAGTTAGTGTTTTTGCATTTTCTGAATAAATATCAAGAAGTGGAATTGCTGCCTGATATGGAATATCTATTTTTAGTATTTTGAGGAAGTACCATACTGTTTTCCAAAGTGGCTGCATCAATTATATTCCCACCTATAGTGTATGAAAGGTTTCCTATTCTCTACATCCTCATCAGTTTTCATTATTTCTCGATTTTTTTTGGATAACAGTCATTCTAATTGGAGTAAGGTGAAATGTCATTGTGGTTTTCATTTGCATTTCCTTGATGATTGATGAGGTAGGACATCTTCCCTTTGTCTATTGGCCACCTATGTCTTCTTTGGTGAATCGCCTGTGTAAACTCACTGGCCATTTGTATTAAATCATATTCTGTGTTATGGTTGGTAAGTTGTATGCATTGTTTATGCTTCTTGGATATAGAACGCTTGTCAGATACATGGTTTGTATCTTTTCCCATTTATTAGGCTCTCTTTTCATTTTAGCAATGTTTATTTATTTTTTTATTCTGCTGGGCAGAAGCCTTTTATTTTGATATTTGTGACCTAGAACTCTCTAAAGTATTGCCCAGATCTCACCTGGAAGATCACTATTATTCAACCAGATTGCACTGTAGAGTCAACATTATTACTTTTTGTTGGATCCCTCAATGTTACAAGAGGTGTGGGGATCAAATTTTTGAAATTCCTCTGTAATTGCAATCATTTTCTTGTTATTTTTTTTAGTTCATAAATTAAAATATCACTCACATGCTAAAGCACGAATGTATTTCTCAATCTGTTTTTTTCAAAACCAAACTCCAGCCAAAGTTAGTTTCTTAGTAAATAGTTCCATCTAGACTTCTTTTTTTTTTAAATATTTATTTATTTATGTATGTAAGAACTGGGGTATAGGCCAGAGATGTGGGGTATGTGTGTGAGAGGATTCACCAGAAACAGAGTGGGGAACATAAGAGGAAGATGTAATGAAATACACTGCTGATGGGAGCATTGGGTGAGAGAGGCGAGATCTGCTGAGCCATGTGGGTCAGCTCTCTGGCTGGGGCCTGAACTCATTCTGCAGTGGCTGCAGATAGCTTCGTAGTGCTGCAGTTGAACTCATTGCACCACTAGAAAGGCGGGCGGAGATCTAGATTTCCATTAGGCACTTCAAACCTGGTGCATGGAACTCACACAAATTGTACAGATTCTTATTTTACCTGCAAAGTTCTTTCCCTTAGCGGTCACTGGCTTCAGTCCTTCACTTTCAAGCTTTGGTCAAACTGCTCTTTACCACTGAGACCATGTCCACTGACTTGTCATATTAACAACATACAACTGAGCCCATCTGCCGCTCCTGCTTTATTCGCTCTCTAACACTTAAGACTACTGGGCATTGACTATTTTACTCACTTTGCTTTGTCTGCCTCCTTTTGTGGTAATATAATCTCTGTGAAGGCAGATAGTCTTCACTTATTTATTCACTGCTAAGTCCCTTGGGTCCAGAGCAATGCCTGGCACATAGATAGGTAGGGCTCACTATATTTTGTTAGATGAATGAAGATTTTGCTATTTTGTTTTTTAATAGACCAGTGCCAGTTTTCATATTTATGTTTTCTAATCAATGAGGAAAATCTTCTAATTTATTAGGATAAATATTTTTACCCATGAAACTCAAATTTTCTGTTTATTATTTTGAATAAAAAATATAGCTGAAAAAAATGTAGCTATGTGTATCTTTGAGAATATACTGAAACACTGTGCAAGAAAGGACTTTTGGTCACCAAACACATAAAATGGTAGCTAACAATTAAAAGATAAATTTTAGAACATGGCTGACCTGGATGAAAGCATCTGTCTTCCTTCTATATCTATCTACCATCTATCTATCTCGACCAACCTAACTACTTATCTATCTGTATTTTAAGAAGTATTCCATGAATTTTATTTTTAAAGAGTATAAATATGGAACATGTGACAGTGTCTCATAGTAGAGCCTGCATTTATGAATTTCAGTTTTTTCTCTATACCCTTTTCTTAGAATGCAAATTCAGTGGACCTTTCTCCTTACACATCATGAGGCCCCTACCTCTGTAATCCACATCTAAACTTCCTAACTCCCAAAGACCCAATCAAAAATACTGTCATATCGAGGGCTAGGGCATGACATCTGGATTTAGGGAGCTCACAGTTCTTTCCTGTGCACTTAGTGTCAAAGAAGGAAAAATGAGAATCCTTCTTCCTACCTTCTGAAACATTATTTGAAGACAGCTGAAGGAAGAAGGAAGAATCTCAGCCCAGCTGAGAAACAAAAAAGTTTATTTAAAAACAAAGTAAGGGCCCTCCCTGGTGGTGCAGTGAGCAAGGACTCAGCACTGCAAGTTGGCTGCAGCCCCTTCAGTGAGAGTTCAATCCCTGCCCCAGAGGTGACCCACATTGCGCGGCCGCTGCTCCCCTCAGCAATGTGCTTCGACGATCTGCCTGTCCTGCTCCCCACTCTGTGTCTGGTGAGTCCTCTCACCGCCCCTGCACCTCTGGCCTGTACCCCAGTTCTGTATGCATAAATAAATAAATCTTTAAAAGTAAAATATAAGCATTTTTAATAGATTTAGTTTTATGCAGGTCTTATATCACAATAGGTAGAGCGATGGTAGTGGGTGCCTGCGTACACTGAGACTGTCACTTCATGCCCTTTTAATTCCATAGCCATCTCACTCCAAAAACTCTACTGTAATCCTCAAATAGCCTCCCAGAAACATTTCTCTTTTGTTGTTAATCATATCAGTTATTAATATATGTAAAGGTGATTCTAAATTTATTTGAACAGTTGAAATTTATGATACTTAAAATATATACATTTTGTTGCTTCTTTTCCACAATGGCAAATTACAATAACTAACCCAAATGTTAATTGATAGCTAGATATTTAGAAAAAAAATTAT